CCCTGCTTCTGTTCTAGAAGGGCAAGATTAGTTTAGGCTCAGGGCTCACGGGGTGAGGTGATAGCCCTAAACCCTAAACCTTAATCCCTAAACCCTAAAAAACCCTAAACCCTAAAAAACCCTAAACCCTAAACCCTAAACCACGAAGGCCCGTGCTTTTCGGGAGGGGGAGGAGGCATACTACGGGCAGGAAGTCTCTGCGGCGGTCGGCTTGGGCATGAGCCATCTACCCTAGGGGCCACCCGCGCAAGAAAGACAACAAAGCACCCAAAACGCAGAACTCTGACCAACCCGGGTTTAGGGTTTAGGGTTTAGGGTTTAGGGTTAGGGTTTAGGGTTTAGGGTTTAGGGTTTAGGGTTTAGGGTTTAGGGTTGCCCAGGAACCCGGCCGCTCAGCCCCCGTGTCGTCAACGCTGCCATCAACGCCAAAGCCTGAATCGCACTAGTCCTTCGTAGGGAGTTCGGGAGTTTGGTACCTCTTCATCCAAATAGGGCACCGGATGTCCCTCCTCCTACAAAGGAGCCAAACTGGAATTTCGGTGAGTGTCGGCTCGCAGGGGTTTAGATTTGGGTTTCACATTTATAGGGTTTAGGGTTGAGGGACTTGGGGTTTGGGGTTGAGGGTGGAGGGCTTCGGGGTCTGACACGGGTGTAAGCTTCAATCAGGGTGTAGGGTTAAGGGCTAAGGATTAGGACTTCGGGATGAAGAATGTTTAAGCTAACCCTAAGGATCCATGTACCTAGATAGCATATACTTGGGCCCGAAGCTACTATAAAGGAACCCCTTTTATTGGGCACAAGTATATACTATATAACTCTACAGGTACATGCCTTCTTAGGGTAAGGGGTCATGGCTGGACCCTGATAACACCCATTTTGCCAGTACATCCATTCCGAGCATCCACGTCCGGTCCCATCCGTTTCCCAGAAAACACATCCGTGGTCCCAAAGCATCCATGTCCGAACCCTAACTATCCGTGGCATCCACGTCCGGGCCCTGCCCACATCTCTGGCTCTAGTATCCCGAGCACCTTGCGTATTCACTACACTTGAGCGCAGGATTCTCCCTGGAAGTGTGCAAGGAGTTGTCCGCGGTGCTGGAATGCCCTTGTGACTTGCTTTCCAGCACCGTGACAGGACGCTCTCTTGCAGGAAAGCACGCGCTGTTAAACGACCCTGCGGATGTTTAACTTCAGGTTGCAGCAAACCCTAAACCCTAAACCCTGAACCCTGAACCCTGAACCCTAAACCCTAAACCCTAAACCCGAAACCCGAAACCCGAAACCCAGCCAGGTGATCCATTCGTAAACCTCCCTACTCTCTTGGAGGGCTGCCACCTGCAGAGTCGCCTTCAACTTTGGGGAGCCAAATGAACCCTGAACGGGTTTTTGGTATGTGGTTCAACCCTTTCTTGGGTTGTAGAAGGTTCAGGGGTATTCACCCAACACCCCCAAGCCCGAAACCCTAAGCCCTAAACCCTGGTTACCAACTATAAGGTTGGTCGATATCATGACTCCACCCGTGTGGTTCACCTTCGAAGGAGATCGGCAGGGTACTATAGGGGCCATAATAATTAGGAACAGGGTTTTGGGGGTTGTTTTAGTATATTCATAAGGGAACACTATTGGTATCTATTCCGACCGCTCTATTTGGGCTTAGGGTGCACGCTGGGTCCCCAGCAGAGGCACTGGAGAACAGCGTGTTTCGCCTCAGACCCAGACTCCAAGGATGTTGGGGTGGCAAGGGGTGTAGGGGATATAGGTAGGATTCAGGGTTCAGGGCTTAGGGCTTGGGGTTAGGGTTTAGGGCTTAGGGTTTAGGGCTTGGGGTTTAGGGTTTAGGGTTTAGAGTTTAGGGTTTAGGGCTTAGGGTTTAGGGTTTAGGGTTTAGGGTTTACGGCCTAGGGTTGTTAGGGCTTGTGGGTTGTTAGGGCTTGAAGCTGCGCACCCTGGAAACCAGAAGCCGCGAACCCGCTAAAAGCACACCCGACACCGCCATGGCTCCCGCCATGCCCCGGTGAACTGGATGAGGGGATACCATTTTAGGGTTTAGGGTTTAGGGTTTAGGGTTTAGGCTTTAGGGTTTAGGGTTTAGGGTTTAGGAGCCCAAAACCCAAAACCCTGTAGCCTTTATCTTGGTTGCTGGGTTCATCAGCCGTCAAAAATGTGTACACTTTCAGTGCTATAGGGGGTTAAAAGGGTAAAGTGTACTCACTCAGCTCTAGGGTTTAGGGTTTAGGGTTTAGGGTTTAGGGTTTAGGGTTTAGGGTTTAGGGTTTAGGGTTTAGGGTTTAGGGTTTAGGGTTTAGGGTTTGGTGTTTGGGGTTTGGGGTTTGGGGTTTGGGGTTTGGGGTTTGGGGTTTGGGGTTTGGGGTTTGGGGTTTGGGGTTTGGGGTTTGGGGTTTGGGGTTTAGGCTCACTCAGCTCTAAGCCATCGACCCTAATCCCCCAAACTTTTAAACCCTCCAGGGACTGTCACGAAGTTCTTCCCAGAAAGCCCAAATACCCTGTGGCTGTGGTTTCGGGGACCTCAAACTCCCACGCCGGGCACCGGGAATCCACACCTTCAACCCTAAACCCCTATTCCTAAACCCTACACCCCAAAACCCAAAACCCTAAACCCTAAACCGGGGAGCTCTAGGGTTGCGCTGGCACCCCTTTCACGAAGTTTGAGGGTTTGGCGTTCCGGGTGCAAGCCCCTGTAAACCGCAAAGCTTTACTGCATGGGTCTAGGGTTTAGGGTTTAGGGTTTAGGGTTTAGGGTGTAGGGTTTAGGGTCTAGGGTCTAGGGTTTAGGGGGTTAGGCTTGAACGCTAAGACCCTAAAACCCGTGAACCACCAGCCCCGGCGCAGACTTCAAGAGGCAGCCGAGGTGCCGTCGCATGGGCTCGAGGCACTGCGTTCGCGCGACGGCTCTTGTGCGGGCTTGAGCCAGGCACGACAGCCAAGGGTTGAGGGTTTAGGGTTTAGGGTTTGGGGTTTAGGGTTTAGGGTTTAGGGTTTAGGGTTTAGGGTTGAGGGTTTAGGGTCTAGGGCCCCAACCCCAAAAAACCCAAGCTCTCAACCCCAAACCTAAACCCTGACCTGAACCCCCTAGGCCCCTGCATCCACGACACACGCAGCCGAAGCCCCCAAAAACTTGAGTGCTTCTTTTCGACTAAACCCTACACCCTAAACCCTAAACCCTAAGCCCGGTTTCTTCACTTAAGGGGGCCATTCTACTGCACTTCGAGGTGCAAAGTGGGCAGGGGCATTGAGTTTCGAAACTCGCATGGAGATAAAAAAATTGTCATAGTTGGGAAGCATTTTACATTTTTTAAGGGTACTTATAAACCCAATAAGGAATAACAATCTAAATTTTTTGTATTATCCCAACAATGAACAAGAAATAAAATGGAGGTCCCAGACCCGCCCCACGGAACAAAAGGGCACCTGCTGTCTCGCATTGGGGTTTACAAGGGAACCTGCCGCCCGAGAAGAAGAATATAAGGATAAGCTCTAAAATGCCTAGACCCCAAACCCAAAACCCCTTTAAACAAACTCCTGAACTCTAACTGAGTTGTGCTTTAACCCCTCGGAAGAGATTTATGAATAGGTTCCCTGACAAGGAAAGCAGGGAATTCAACAACATCCCAAAGCACAACCCAGCGAAAAGACCCTAAAGCCGAAACCCTAAAGACTCTAAAGTTGGGATGTTGCCCCTTTTTACTAACAGTCCTTAAGAAGGATTGTAGTACTTTAGGGTTTAGGGTTTAGGGTTTAGCCCCTACTATAATCCCTACTAAGGACTGCTAGCATATGGGGGACCATCCCAGCTCAAAAGCCTTACCCTTAAGAATACTTGGAGGTTCATGGTACTTATTCACCAATTACAACTGTACTTATAACTGTACTTATAACCACCTTAGGGCACTTGAAGGGGCTTAGAAGTGGGTGATAAAGTACAGTTGGAAATTGGTTAATAAGTACCATGAACCTCCCTAAACCCTAAACCCTAAACCCTAAACCCTAAAGCCTTAAGCATAGGGAGGCAGGGAATTGGGGTTCCTCACTTCCGTGTGAGGGGGGGATAAGGTTCAAGAGGGCACCTCCAAGAACCAGGAATTTAGGGTTTAGGGTTTAGGGTTTAGGGTTTAGGGTTTAGGGTTTAGGAACCAAACCCTAAACCCTAAACCCTAAACCCTAAACCCTAAACCCTAAACCCTAAAACCCCCCAACTATAGGGTTCTTAAGGGAGGGGGTTTCAAGGGGGGTATGCAACCCAAGGTTTCCCTAATACTTCCCACTGCTCCCTAAGGCTCCCGAAGCTTCCCTAAGGTTCCCAAAGCCAAAGAAAATGAAAAGCTTCCTCAGGGGGCAAAAAAAAACCCACATAAACATGAGGATTCCATGAACAGAGTTTTGCCAGAATCCCCCCTTGTAGCTAAACCCGAAACCCTAAATCCCAAACCCTAAACCCTAAACCCTAAACCCTAAGCCCTTAACCCTAAGCCCTAAACCCCAATGGCAGGATCCCTCTGCTTATGTGCTTGGGGCCCAAGCATGGCCCCTAAGAGCACCTGAAACCCTTAAAAGGCATCCCACACTTCGGATGGCTGTGCTTAGAGCTTATATGGTGTATACGGCCTAAACCCTAAACCCTAAACCCTAAACCCTAAACCCTAAACCCTAAACCCTAAACCCTAAACCCCAAACCCTAAACCCTAAACCCTAAACCCTAAACCTGTTTAGAGTTTCAACATTGAAGGGTTTCGGGGCGTAGGGGCTCATGGTTTCGAGTTCTGTTTTCAGCTCGCTGCTTTTCAAATGCGTGAGGGGTGAAACGTGGCAGGGCCATTAACTTCATGGAAGGCTTTAGGATACAGGAGGTTTAGGGTTTAGGGTTTAGGGTTTAGGGTTTAGGGTTTAGGGTTTAGGGTTTAGGGTTTAGGGTTTAGGGTTTAGGGTTTAGGGTTTAGGGGTTTAGGGCTACTGACAGGAAAGCACGGGCTGACCAGGCAATCACTCGTCCTCCTCGTCCTGCAGAACCCCGGGAAGCCCAGTGCTCCCTTGCTAAGGACAGGTGCCCCAAACCAGTAAGTTTAGGGTTTAGGGTTTAGGGTTTAGGGTTTAGGGTTTAGGGTTTAGGGTTTAGGGTTTAGGGTTTAGGGTTTAGGGTTTAGGGTTTAGGGTTGAGGGTTGAGGGTTGAGGGTTGAGGGTTGAGGGTTGAGGGTTGAGGATTTCGGCTTTAGGGTTCGGGGCCCTGAGTTCGGGGCCTAGGTTAAGCAATATACCACAAGCTGTATATGTCAATAGCAGCGGCCTCCTCCACTTGCTTCTTCTTGGCTTTCTTTGCGTTTTTGGCTGCCTGGTTTAGGGTTTACTGTAGGGCTCAGCGTGGGTTTAAGGCTCAGGGGGCGTGGAAATCGAGAGTTGTGGGCAAGCTAGAATGCTAAACCCTAAACCCTAAACCCCAAACCCCAAACCCTAAACCCTAAACCCTCAAGACGGGCCATAGTGCTAGTGCCACAAAGGATTTAAGGCATGTTGCTCAAAGGATTTCGAAGGTATACTTGTAGCTTTTTGCGGACGATGCCCAAGACCTTGAACCTTACTTGTTAGGGTTTAGGGTTTAGGGTTGAGGAATTAGGGTTTAGGGTTTAGGGTTTAGGGAAGTATGATGTAAGGAGTTGGAAAGAGGGAAGTTGCTGGAGGACTTTTCCTTTCGAATGCTCATAGGGGAGAAGGCCTTTTCGCAGGCCTTTCAGTGTATAGGTTTTTTATATGAGGCTTGCCTTGTAGGGCTTGTAGGGTTATACAAGGCCTGCAAGGAATCTAGGGCTTCTGGGGGTTTTTAGCGCTTGTGCGCTACAGGGCTTGTGAGTCTCTTTTTTGGGGGGGGATTGGGGGTTTTGGGGGGTGCCTTGTCCTCCGGCTCCTCTTCACCCTCCTCTACCGCCGCGGCTTTCTTTTTCTTCTTCGGCCTCACCTGGATTCAGGCGCCTACCCTACACCCGTAGGCCCAACGCCTAAACCCCAGACCGAAAACAAACGGACCCTGTGAACCCTGAAGGCCCGAAATCAGGAACCCTACTCCAGAGCAAACCCTAAACCCTAAACCCTTGTTTCAAGCGCCTAAGCCCCAAGCACTTTAAACTTTCATTCTTAAGAATAGGTAGCACTGCACTGGGAGTCTGGGATGTGTTTTTGGAGGGCACTCACCGGGTTAGAAACAATAGCCAAAACTGACTCGTTTAGGGTTTGGTGGATGGGTTTAGGGTCTAAGGTTGGAGGTTTAACTAGGGTTAGGGCGTCTTCTGGGTTAGGGTTTAGGAGGGTCTAGGGTCTATAGGGTTTGGTCTAGGGTTTAGGGTGTCGGGTTTTAGGGTTTAGGGTTAGGGCCGCTGGACTCTGCGACAGGTCCTCATTCCGACTAGCCTCATGGTCCTCCACCCGATTCAGGCTCAAAATCCCTAACCCCAAATCTATCACGCTCCCGTTCCCTCCAACAAGAAACAAAACTTCAATGCATCAGGACTATGCCTTTGTGTTTTTGGTCTGTTTCGGGGGATGTTAGTTCTTGGGTCACCCTGAACCTAAGCCCTGAACTCTGAAGGCGAGAAGCCTCTGCTGCCTCGTCGTCGTCGCCGTCGCCATCGGCAACTGTTTTGCCCTCCGGTGGATTAGTCGGTTTGCGTTTAAGGTGGCCAGTGACCCCCCCCCCCACCCCACTGAAAAACTCGGCAGGTGTGGTTAAAAAACAAGTTGTTTTCCCGATAGTCGGTTGTCGATGCTTCTCCAAGGATGCTTTTAGTACTCAACAACAAAAACTGCAAAAATGGTCGACCTTGTCTAGCTTCAGGAAAACTTTGATGGACCCTGGGTCTAACAAAATGTCGTGAGGCAGTTGTTATGCAACTAGTACAACGAAAACATGAATGAATAACCTAGTGAAAATGCATATTGAACAAAACTAGGAAAACCGCAATAACTAAACAAGTGCATGGTTTTTGCTTTTCCCAATTAACATACTTAGTAGAAATAGATGTCTACTAAACTCTTAGAAATCATACTTAAGAGAACCAGCATCGTTAATGCAACTAATGTAGTTCATACCACTAATTTGCTCATTGAATTTGTAGAATGGATATAATCAATACCAAAGATGTAGCTGCTACAACTGATACAACTAATACACTTAGGATACCTCTAAGATAGATTAATATAGTCAATCCATTGACATAAATACAGGGCATAACGCTCATCATACTATGTGCATCATATTCCTTATAGGCACGAGAATCAATACTCAGTTTAACCGTTTAACCTTATGATCTTAGTATTCAGAACTCTCATTCTATCCACTATGAAATTCTGTACATTCACTACATTAGGTAAAGTGAGTATACTCAGCCTAACCTTCATATTCGTTATGTGCGTTCTATTCTATTTATTGTATTTGATTGGTTCGATGCATTCAGTGTATTCATTGAGCACCTGAAGGACAGACACGCGGGAAAAGCGTATTGGGGTTCAGGACGTAAGCTTTAGGGACCACAAAACCTTGCATACCCGAAGGATCCATGTACCTATACAGTATATACTTAGGATACCCGCCTCAGCCTCAGCTTTCTTCTTGAGTCGGTCTAGGAGGGCATCCACCATCTTCTCCTGTGGGCTCAAGTTTAGGGTTTAGGGTTTAGGGTTTAGGGTTTAGGGTGTAGGGTGTAGGGTGTAGGGCTTCGGGTTTTATGCCCTTCTGGCACCTTAAGCTATAAGGCTATAAGGAATCCAGCATAGTAGAGACCCAGCAAGAGGTTTGGCATTGGGGTCTAGGATAGAGGGTGGGCATCCCCCCAATTAGACCCCAAACCCTCAACCCTGAACCCTAAAGTTGCCTCTTGAAGGGTACTTAGAGGGTTTGTTCCTTATAGTTTTGTGGGGGGTTGAAGGAGAAGCTTCATAGCTAAGCCCTAAGCCCTAAGCCTTAAGCCTTAAGCCCCTAAGCCCTCAGTCCTAGACGCTGCGCCCTAAACCCTAAACCCTAAGCACTAAACCCTAAACCCTAAACCCTAAGCCCTAAGCCCTAAACCCTAAGCCCTAAACCCTAGACCCTAAACCCTAAACCCTAAACCCCAAGCCCTGAACAAGATCCTAGACCCGAAGCCGCCAGAGTGGCCATTCAGGGTTAGGGTTTTAAAGTTCAAAGATTAAGGTTTAGGGTTCAGGGTTCAGGGTTTAGGGATCGGGGTTTAGGGTCTAGGGTTTAGGGTTTAGGGTTCCAAGCGTGGCCTTTTTTCTCCCTCAGGCATCCCCTGCTAAGTCCCAGGGGTTGAGGGCTCAGGCTTGTAACCCTGCAGGTTTTGGGGTTTAGGGTTTAGGGTTTAGGGTTTGGTTGGGGTTTGGGGTTTGGGGTTTGGGGTTTGGGGTTTGGGGTTTGGGGTTTGGGGTTTGGGGTTTAGGGACCCCTCAACCCCCAGGCCTAGTCCCGAAGCCCCCAAAAAGTTCAGGGCTTCAGGTTTTACGACGCAGCCCTGTTAAGTCCCTACCTCTTCTTGGTGGAACTCCTCGATGGTGCTTGCGGGTACAGCGTACTGCCTGAGGGTTTAGGGTTTAGTGTTTATAGGGCTAAGGACTTAGGCACAGCCACGGATTCTTTGGCTTAGGGCCGGTTAGGGCTGTAGCGGAATCCTGTATCTCAAGCCCTAAGCCCTTTACTCAATCGTCTCAAAAAAACCCTGGCCTAGTTGCTGAGTTCCTTAAAACCCAAAAAGGCAACCTAAGATCGCGTCCACGCAACAAAAAACGCTAAAGGCTGCCTACTCTGCTGAGCTAAAATTAACAGTCATCCACACCAGGGGGCTGGCTGGGAAAGCGCTCCGAGAGGTCTAAGACCTAAATCAGCTTCCCTTAAACCCAATGAAGGGGTAAGGTATGATGAAATCCTAAGGTCCTTTAAAAAAAAAAACTGAGCCCTTGACTTTTTTTTTAATCCTAAACCCTACGCCCTAACCCCCCCCCCCCCACCGCCCCCTCAAACGCTACACTAGACCGGGGTGTTGGCTTCTTGCCCTTGTCGATCCGCTTCTGCCTGTCCCACTCCGCCTGGCGCTTCGTGCCTTAAGGGGGTCTAAGAATAGTTCCGTGGTCCCTTAATATGGGCCCTGAGAAGGGGACCCCTGATATACCCCTTAATTATATACCTTACACAAATTACGGGCCCATACATCAGAACCCTTTAAACAAGGTTTAGGGACCATTAAGGGCCCATGAAGCTACCCCAAGAGGGGGCGGGGGTTCTGGTAAAGTGATCATGTTATGAGGGCTTGGGGTCTAGGGTTTAGGGTTCGGGCTTTGGGTATAAGCCTTAGGTTGAGGATTTACCATGCTGTGCTCCGGTTGGTCGTGGACTTCGGGGAGTTGAAGCTTGTCCCTGCAGGGTTTCGAGTTGAGGGTTTAGGATGATACAAACTGAAGCAACAACAGCATGATGCGGGCATACAGCAGACTGTGCCATGTCAGGAAACCTAAAACGCTAAACCCGAAAGCCCTAAAACCCTAAACACCTAAAAACCGTAAATCCCCCCCCCCACCCCGCATTTATCAAGTGATGGGAGTTGAAGGCTCGGAGTGTTCGGGCTCAGGCTTCTGAGGTTTAAGCTTCGGAACCTTGGAGTTCGCTCGCTCGGCCCAGAAACCCTAAACCCTAAACCCTAAACCCTAAACCCTAAACCCTAAACCCTAAGCCCTAAACCCTAAACCCTAAACCCTAAACCCTAAACCCTAAACCCTGCAGCTCCGTGCAGCTCTCCTGCGGACCATATCACTTGGAGGTTCATGGGTACTTCTAACCACAACTATCAGTCTACTTACAACCTACTTAGGGGACTTAGGGGGCTTAGAAGTAGAGGTATCATTAGGGTAATAAGTACTATGAACCTCCAAGTGATCCTTAACTTGGGAGCCACAAACCCAGAGAGCCCAAGACCCCTCAATAAAGGGATATCCCCTTAAATTTTAAAGGGAAACTTTTTACGACTTAAGGAATTAAGGAGTGTTGGGCTCTTTGGGTACCCTATACCTGGCAGCTCTACTTACGAAGTCAAAAGGGCTTCCAAGTAGCCCTGAACCCTGAACCCTACCCCCTAAACTGGGAGGCATATGAACCATAACATTCCAGCACTCATCTGGCCCCCAAGGTCTGCATGCGCTTGGCCTCCCTTTGCACTGCCTCCTACCTGGAAGCTCTTTTGACTCAGTAAGTAGGGTAAGTAAGGTGGGCTCAGGGGATTCTAAGAGGGTTTGGGATACTAAGTAGACCTACTGAGTCAAAAGAGCCGCCAAGTAGAGGGCAGAATCCCCCTGTCGTCCACGCATGCTGCGCGCCCTGCTGACACACTGCACCCGTGCGGCGACGGTCGTCGTCACGACCTGGCCTGTAGTGGTTTAGGAACCCTAAACCCTAAACCCTAAGCCCTAAACCCTAAACCCTAAACCCTAGGGTTTAGGGTTTCGGGTGTAGGGTTTCGGGCAAAACTTCGGAGCCTCTGGCTCATGCGTCGCAGGTGCTGCAGGTCCTCCTAAAAAATGCCGGGAACCCTCTGCCCCAATAGGGTTTAGGGTTTAGGGTTTAGGGTTGAGGGTTTAGGGTTTAGGTACTATGACTAGGGTTTAGGTTTGGGGTTTAGCCCTACACCCTGAAACCGAAAAAAAAGGCATAGGCGTAAGGGGATCTGACAGACTACCCACGCGAGCCAGCTTGATGCGAAGATCGGTTTCGGCCCAAACCCTGGGTTTAGGGTTTAGGGTTTAGGGTTTAGGGTTTAGGGTGTAGGGTTTAGGGTTTAGGGTTTAGGGTTTAGGGTTTAGGGTTTAGGGTTTAGGGTTTAGGGCTAAAACCTAAACCCTAAAACCTGAAGCCTTAAAACCTGGAGGAGCTTCGGGGTCCCCAAATTCGGCCTCCGACTTCATGAAGTACTTGTCCTGTCAAAGTCGATACTTGGAGGTTCAGGGTCCTAACCCAATTCTAACTGTACGTATAGCCGAATTCTAAGCATGTTAGGGCGCTTCGGGGGCTTACAAGGGGGTTCTAAGGGTTTAGGGTTTAGGGTTTAGGGTTTAGGGTTTAGGGTTTAGGGTTTAGGGTTTAGGGTTTAGGGCTTAGGGTACAGTTATGACTGGGTAAATAAGTACCCTGAACCTCCAGGTACTTAGGGCTTTGGGGGGGCTCGGGGGTTAAACGGTTGTCTGGGATGTGCCCCCAAATATGAACAGTTCTAGTACGCCTTATGATAATCCCTATTAAGGCCTGTTACTACAAGGGGGAACATCCCAGAGTTGAGGCAGCTTAGGTTTGGGGTTTAGGGATACTTTAGGGTTTGTGGTTTGGAGTTTCGGGTGTGGGGCTTAGGGGGGCATCATGTGTTCCCTACGTTGTCGGATTTTCCTCGGACTGGAGCAACATGGATCCGAACAAGGGCTGTTAGGGGTTAGGGTTCCGGACTTAGGGCACCCCTAAACCCTAAATCCTCAAATTGATCCGCTCTGCCAGAAAAACGGGCAGCCTTTCCCCCTTAGGCACCCAGAAACAGCAAACAAGAGGAAAAATTTCAAAACTTTCTCGCTCAAAACTTTCGGTCAAAACTTTTGGCCCTGTACAATTTCTGTACACCCTAAACCCTCACCCTAAACCCAATTTAGGGCGCTTCGGGATTCAGAGGCTCGGGGCAATGCCGTCGTGCTTTCCTCGGAATCTGCATGACGGAGGGGTGGGGGGAGGGGGGGACGCCCATCTTGAGCAAGCTGACTCAGGTTTACGGGCCTTAGGGTCGTAGGCTCTAAACCCTAAACTCTAAGGTTTAGCAAGTTTAGCTTAAAGGTATTCCGTGTCCTTCCGGTTTCGGAGTCTCGGGCTTAAGGCTTGAAAGAGTGTTCTGAAAGGGTGTTAACAGGGTGTCAAAGGCGTTTACAGGGTTTAAAGAGTAGTTTAGTAGGCTTTGTACTGCAAGGCTTTAATGAGTTCTTATCCGACCTGCCAGTGCCTTGCTAAGTTTGTGGCTATTGGGGTTCGCAGACCTACGCCATCCTGGTACACTGAACCCTGCTTGAAGGTTCATGGGTACTCATAACCCTAATTTCTAAGTCTACCTCTACCCTGCCTACTTGAAGGTTCATGGTACTTACTAACCAATTATAACTGTACTTATAACCCTACTTATAATACCCCTAAAGGGCCTTATCGGGGTTATCCGGCTATAAGCCCAGTTATTATTGGTTAGTAAGTACCATGAACCTTCAAGTAGAGGACTTAGGGGGCTTATACGTGCGGTGTTAATTGTGGGTTCGAAGTACCCTGAACCTCCAAGGAACCCGGAGGCCGAAGGCCTCAAGCCTAACCCCTGCACCCCGATGTCCACTCACTGAAGTCTAGGGCTGCTGCCTGTTGGGGCTTCCTAGTGTTGGTTTAGGGTTTAGGGTTTAGGGCCCTTTAGGGTTTAGGGTTTAGGGTTTAGGGTTTAGGGTTTAGGGTTTAGGGTTTAGGGTTTAGGGTTTAGGGTTTAGGGTTTCTAAGTCTGTCCCAGGCATTCTTAGTATCCTAACCTAAGTCCTCTGAACACGTTCGACCGTGTGAGTTTTGAATGGCTGGCTTGGTTTGGGCTTGCTCCGGTTTGGTTTCGCCGTGAGTTGTGAGTGGCCTTGGGCTCGGCATGCACCCTAAGCCCTAAACCCTAAACCCTAAACCCTAAAACCCAAACCTAGAAGGGCTTCAGGGCTTCAGGAATGCTGGACGCTGCAGTCTTTGCAGGGCCTTCTTGGCGTCATACTTGAAGCCCCCGCGGAGCATCAGGTCATGGGTCTGTGGCGGCACCTGCCATCAGTCTTCGGACAGGTTTTCGGGGTTTAGGGTTTAGGGTTTAGGGTTTAGGGTTTAGGGTTTGGGGTTTAGGGTTTAGGGTTTAGGGTTACATGGTCCCTTACTATGGGCCCCTAAATGAGGACCCCTACTATACTCCTTGTAGACCCTGTGCAACCCACAGGGCCCCATACATCAGAACCCTTGAAAGGAAGTACGGGGACCATATTGAGGGACCATGTAACTTCCCGAAGCCCTAAACCCTAAACCCTAAACCCTAAACCCTAAACCCTAAACCCTAAACCCTAAACCCTAAACCCTAAACCCTAAACCCTAAACCCTAAACAGGCAGCCCGCAGGTTTGGTTGAGTTCCATGAACCTGGATTTAGGAGTCTGTGGGGCTTATGGGGTTTATGACTTAGTAAGTAGGGTTTAGGGGTTTATGACTTGGTAAGTAGGGTTTTGGGTTTACATAGGGTTTAGGGTTTAAGGCTTAGGGTTTAGGGTTTAGGGCTCAGGGTATAGAGTTCAGGGTTTGGGGTTTGGGTTTCTGGGGGTTTAGAGGGTTTAGGGTATAGAGTTCAGGGTTGAGGGTTTGTTGGGTTTATGGCGGCTAGGAGGGTTTAGAGTATAGAGTTCAGGGTTTAGGGTTTGTTGGGTTTATGGCGGCTAGGAGGGTTTAGAGTATAGAGTTCAGGGTTTAGGGTTTGTTGGGTTTACGGCGGTTTGGAGGGTTTAGGGTATAAAGTTCAGGGTTCAGTGTTTATTGGCTTTGTGGGGCTTGCAAAGTTTGAGGGTTTCGGGCTTGGGGCCCGAGAGGGAACGGGATTCCTTGCAGGGTTGATGGGGTTTCGGGTTTAGGGTATGCAGTTCAGGGTTGCTGGGGTTTATGTGGGTTTATCGGGGTCTTATAGTCTTGTAGGGTTTAGGAGTTCAGAGGGGACTGAGGGCTTCAGAGTTTGTTGGCTGCGGGCTTTGGGGCCTTAGGGTTTAGGGTTTATGGGGATTCCATCGAAGAGGTCAAGTTTTGTCCCAACACGGGTTAGAAGGGTTTAGGTTTAGGTCTAAGGGTAGTTCCATGGTCCCTTAGTATGGGCCCTTAAAGAGGTACCCCTTATATACCCCACATATACCCTGCACAGATTAAGGGTCCATACCATCATCAAAACCCTTTGAATAAGGTAAGGGACCATATTCAGGGCCCATGAAACAACACTTGGATTAGGGTTTAGGGCTCGTTTTCTTAACTAGGCTTCTGGGGTTTCGGGCAATATTTAGAGAACTGCCCATGGTTTAGGATTTGCTGTAGAGCTTCGGATTGAGGTTTTCCTGATTTGGGGCCAAACGAAAAATATCCAGACAATAATCCTAAGAAAGGGTATGGGTTGGGATGTTCCGCCTTATACTAACAGTCCTTAACAGGGACTCTTCGGTATGAAGTAGGGGGTACAGAAATGCCTGTTAAGGACTGTTAGTATAAGGGGGAACCTCCCAAGGTATGGGTCACAAGAGGCCAGACTCCCGCAGCTCGGGCTCCACTTTCACCTAAACCCGCCCCTCAACCCTGAACTCTCTAGACCCCTCACTTGGATGCTCATGGTACGTGTTAGCCAATTATCCCTGTGCTTAGAACTGTACTTATCACCATATAAAGGCCACTTCAGGGGGCTTTATAAGTGGGTTGTAAAGTACAGTTATAATTGGTTAATAAGTACCATGAACCTCCAAGTAAGCCCCAGACTCTCAACCCTAGCACCAAATCCCGCTCCGGCACAGGCTCCCCCTCCCACTTGAAGGTTCATGGTACTTACTAACCAATTATAAGTGGGCTTATAACCCTACTTATAATTGGGATAACCCCTATAAGGCCCTTTAGGGGTATTATAAGTAGGGTTATAAGTACAGTTATAATTGGTTAGTAAGTACCATGAACCTTCAAGCACCCCCCAAAACCCCCTCGCCGGCCTTCCCCATGGTCTCTGAGAGAGCCGGGCGGCAGTATACAATCGGGCTTCAGGGTTCAGGGTTTTCGGGTTTTGGTCCCTAAGACCTATAAGCCCTTAAACCCTTTTAGCCAATAAACCCGAAAACCGAACACCCTAACACCCTAAAACCCCAGAACCCTAAAGCCCTGGTGCAGCTGACTTTACGAGAGCTTTGGATGCGATGCTGCTGAGGAGATCGTGGATACAGCGGACGAAGCCGCAACGCATGCTGCGGGATGGACATGCTCATTCTCATCTTCAACTACGCACGCTCCTGACATGGCTAAACCCTACACCCCAAACCCCAAGCACCAAAACCCCAAAAAGCCTAAAACCCTGAAACGCTACAAACCCCCCCACAAAAAAAATGAAGCCACTCCCGCAACGGCCGCCGGCAAAGTTTTGTTGTTATCGCCATGCTTGCTCACCAGACATGGGGGCCTCCACCCTGGAGAGGTTTAGGGTTTAGGGTTTAGGGTTTAGGGTTTAGGGTTTAGGGTTTAGGGTTTAGGGTTTAGGGTTTAGGGTTTAGGGTTTAGGGTTTAGGGGTTTAGGTTTTTTAGGGCTTCATGGTTTTAGGGTTTAGGGTTCTCAAGAGACTAAAGGAGGGACCCTTACAAGGCACCTTAAGGCATGCATTGGGGGTATATTCCCAGATTCAGGCTAGGCCTTTTTAGGGGGTCCCTCCTTCTACCCCCAAAGGCCAAAGCTTTAGGGATTAGGGTTTAGGGTTTAAGGCTAGCAGAGTCACAATATCCAAGACGCCAAGCTCTCTTTTGCACCCATCGGCGTTCCGAGCGGCCCAATGGCAAGAAGCCTCGGGGTTTAGAGTTTAGGGTTTAGGCTTTAGGGTTTGTAGGGTTTCCACAACAAACCGCCCAACCCCACACCTTCAAACCCCCAATCCAGAGCCTGCAAACCCTAACCCCCTTGATCAAGGTTACGTAAAACAAATCCCAAGCCCGAACCCTAAGCCCCAAACCCTAGACCCTCATGTTGGATGCAACTTCATAAGGGCCCCTCTAGAACAGTCAAGTTTGCCAGGATAGTCAGGACCCTGCAGGTGGTCCAGATGGGGTCCGCAATTAAGCCAACTCGTCCGAGTGTCGTAAGGAAATTTCGCGGGGTGCGCCTTTAAAATCAATTCGGGAAGCTTCGGGCTTGAATAACAAAGAGCCCAACACACCTTTCTGAAGGAATATCCCGCAATTCTATGCAGGGATCCTTAAGTATGTTCCTAAAGAGCCCCATACCTCTTAAAAGAAAGAAAATTAAGGAACCTCAATTTGTATAGACCCTTGATATGACTGAAGGGAGATTCCTGAATTGAGGGGCATTGGGCTCTCGGGGTATCTAAGGGTTGTGGGCTTGGGCTCTGGATTCAACTCTCTGCCTTTATTTAGGGTTTAGGGCTCAGGGCTCCGGTAACCCTAAACCCTAAACCCTAAACCCTAAACCCTAAACCCTAAACCCTAAACCCTGGTTTAATGGGCCCAGGGGCTTCGAGGCTTAGGTTCAAGCTACACCGTGTAGGGCAAAAGCTTCGCTTCAATGCACAGCAGGCAGTGACTCGAAAACTCAGCACAAGCCCCCCAGTGAACCACCATGAGCAGAAACTGTACACCCCAAACCGCACACCACTTCTAGTACTAGAGACCCCAAACCGCACCACCGAACTCTTATGCCAAGAAGCATCTTGCTCCTGCTAGCCACCGACCCGACCTGCACAACCGAGCATGAAGGTGACGAGGTCTTCGGGCTTTACCCAAAAGCGGGGTTTCGGTTTCGGGTTTCGCCAAGAGAGCAAGGAACCAGAAGAGCGCAAGACCGAGAATTGAACGTTTAGGGCTTAGGGGTCCTCAACCATAAATCCCTAAACCCTAAACACCTACCCCGAAACCCTACCCCTATACCCGAAAAGAAACCCAGTAGCGGCCCTCAGTAGCCAACACAACACGCTGCAATGCCCCTGATACAATCCGGCATACCTAAAGGCTCCTGTGTAGTACCTTCTTTGGGCGGGAAAGAGTTTAGGGTTTAGGGTTTAGGGTTCAGGGTTTTAGGAAACCCAACCCTCCTAACCCCCCAACCCAAAACCCTAAACCCTAAACCACGAAACCAAAAAGCCCAACTATGGGTTCAGGTTTAAAGGGCTGTAGAGGGCTTATATATTATAGGGCTTTAGCACATAGTCATGGTCATAAGCCTACAACCCTCAAGCCATAACCCCCTTACAGCTCCTTGAAACGCTGAGTTCCGAGTCAGGGATGCTTGTGCCGTAAAGGACACAGCTCAGGGTTTAGGGTTTAGGGTTTAGGGTTTAGGATTTAGGATTTGAACCCCGCAGCCTCCGGCGCTGGGCGTCAGGGCAAAGGGAGACGACGCTGGCGGGGACACTGGTACCTCCAAACAAGCTGCTTCCGAGCTTCCCATGGGGTTTAGGGTCAAGGGTTTGGGGTTTACACACCCAAAAACCCAAACCCTAATCCCTAAATATAGATGTTTATCCTTCAGGGCCAGGGTTTGGCTCCATCCTATCCTAAACCCTAAACCCTAACCCCTAACCCCGAAACCCGAAACCCGAAACCCTAAGCCCTAAACCCTAAACCCTAAAGACCCCGCAGAGCCCAAGATCAGGGCGCCGTCCAGTCTTCCGTGGAGTCCAGCCCATCCTGCTCAAAGGCGGCGGGGGGGATTCTTACAAGGGTTTAGGGTTTAGGGTTTCAGGTCTAGGGGTAGGGCAGGGTTTAGGGTTTAGGGTTTAGGGTTTAGGGCTTAGGGCATAGGGCTTAGGGCTTCGGGCTTAGGGCTTAGGGTTTAGGGTTTAGGGCTTAGGGCTTAGGGTTTAGACCCCACTAAACCAACCCTTAATCACTCTTTCATAGAAGTATAAGACTTCGACAAACGACGGCGGCATGCACAAAAACTCGTGGGCACAGGCACGCCCCTTCGTGGATACTGGCACACCCCCTCGTGGGTACAGGCCTTCAAGGGCCCAGGTTTAGGGTTTAGGGTTTAGGGTTTAGGGTTTAGGGTTTAGGGTTTAGGGTTTAGGGTTTAGGGTTTAGTGGGGCTACTCATGAGTGCAGTGGCAATTGAGATGCTCGGCCGGCGCGAAAGCCGTTCACAAATGCAGGGCCGCCCTGTGGCAAGTAGCGTGCGCAATAAACATATTCGGCTGCCCGCTGCTTTCCCCAATTTGGCCCAAGCTTCCTTACAGTTCAATGGACGGAAGCCTTGTCGTCAGAACTAGCCGGCAGACAGCTCCATGGAGGATACCTTGAGAACCCAAAAACTACTCTAGGTACAAGGAATCCTATTGAAAGGGGTTTAAAGTGATTAATAACCTACAGAAAGTAGGTTTGGGGATCTGAAGGTACCACAAGTTACGGGGGGGTTCCGAAATTGGTGGTACTTGATTGGGGTCCTTCTTCTAAGAAAGTCCTACTACTTGGCGGGGGGCGGGCGGGGGGGGATCCATACTCGGGGCCCTCATTTTCGTAAACCTCCACATGGTCAGTCCTTTAAATTAGGGTCCCCTTTTGGGGCACCCTAAACAATAGGGGCCGCCTTATTTAATAAGGACCATATTCCAGAGAAACGACCCTAAACCCTAAACCCTAAACCCTAGTGTTGAAGTGAGCCCTCCGACGTCGCTCCTCTGCGAAGTCTTGGATGTCAACTTTCATCAAGCCGGCCTGTTGAGGATAGGGTGCTGCTGGGTTTAGGATGTAGGGTTTAGGGTCTAGGGTTTAGGATTTAAAAGGGTTTTTGGCCTAGGGTTTGAGGTTTAGGGTCTAGGGTCTATAGGGCTTCGGGCTTCGCGTTTCGGGTGTAGGGTTGAAAGTCTAGGGTCTAAGTAGGGTTTATGGTTTAGGGTGCTTTGGGAGAAAAGGTTTTGGGCTTAGGGACACGTGCAAGGCCAGAATAAGGCACTTCTCTGAAAGCTTGGTCGTCGTGTGTGCCCCGAAAAGACGCCATGAATTTAGGAATTGAGGACACCCCGAGAGGTCTTCCATTAAAAATGGAACCATAAAGCCTATAAATGATGATTTGGAGAACTGACCAGATTCGATGGCGCCAGCCTGCAAAAGAAGCACCGCAACGGGCACTGTGTGATTTATAGGGTAAAGGATTTGGGTTGAGGGTCTGTGCTTTACGGAAAAGGGTCGATTTAATGCCTAGATGTAAAGGGCTTGCTGTAGGTTTATAATAATAATAATAATACAATGCAATACGGGCCCCAAACATGATTCTCTTATTGGCCCGTCATTGTAACATTTCATTATCCATTACGGCTTGAGGTCATGGATGGTCAACTGATGTCTCTGCTAGTCCCCTTATTATGAGCGCGCTAACGCATCGCATCGGCGTCATCTGACAAGTGCGAAGCAGGTTTGGCCAACCCTAAACCCTAAACCCTAAACCCTAAACCCTAAACCCTAAACCCAGGACTCCAGTGGCTGGTGTTCACTGTACCCAGCCGTACAGCAGAAGCCCCACACCGCACTTCAGTTGGCCAGGGCACACAAGCTTCATGGGTTCCCCTACTACCCCCCTCTGTATCACCCGTTCTAGGGTCCCGATGAATGGCCTCCCCACTGGAACGTCCTGCAACCGGTCCTTTGCGGCTGGAATCGGACCCCCTCATGCCGCCTGCCCATGTAGTCCCCCGATGAGTGCGTTTGCGCATCGCGCATCGCCTCACCGTCATCTGCCAAGTGCGGAGCAGGTTGGCCAAAGGGACTCCAGTAACTCAATGGCAGCATGAGCCCCACACCTGTCCGATGGTGCGAAGTCTGCTTTGCAAAGCAAACTCCGGGTAGAGCAAAGAAGCTTTATGGCTAGGGCCAAAATGAAAAGCTGAAGAAACAAAAACGCTCCGTATCGAACAGAGTTATGTATGTACATGCACATATCATGCGAGCAGCAATCGGACGTGCATCTGGCAAATGAGACCTACAAACGTCTGTTCACCAATGAACAACGCATCACCCTCTGCATCATAAGCCGTCACCATCGATGCAACAGAAGCACTGTCACAACCTGACCACATGCGACCACCTCAACACAGGAGCCAGGCTGCTCAGCAGCCGCGGCTTCAAAGCCAAGCATGCTGCATGAATGGCCTCCCCATCCTGCAACCGGTCCTTGCGGCTGGAATCGGACCCCCTCACGCTGCCTGTCCCCCGATGAGTGCGCTTGCGCATCGCCTCACCACCATCTGCCAAGTGCGAAGCAGGTTGGCCAAAGGGACTCCAGTAACTCAATAGCAGCATAAGCCCCACACCTGGCCGATGGTGTGAAGTCTGCTTTGCAATGGCCGGACTTCAGCAAACTCCGGCTATGTAGGGCAAACAAGCTTCAGTTCCCCTTGGGGGCCAAACGGACCCTACAATTGCAGTCATACACCCTATACGACGATCATCCCTCTTAAGGAAACCCTCAATGCCCCGGCTAAACTCCAATGGCTTAGGGTTTAGGGTTTAGGGTTTAGGGTTTAGGGTTTAGGGTTTAGGGTTTAGGGTTTAGGGTTTAGGGTTTCGGGTTTAGGGTAAAACTCAGGAACACGAGCGTGCAGCAGCTTCTGGCCCCCACCCAAGTTGAGGAGCAGCACAGCAGCATCAAGTTCCACTTGCCATTGGCAACAGCTCACAAGCTAGTTGCAAAAGGAAACCCAAGGGATCCATGTACCTGTATAGTATATACTTGGGCCCTAGAGCTACTACATAGGAACCCCTTTAAGGCCCAAGTATATACTATATACGTACATGGATCCCTTGGGAAACTCTAAACTTAAGCCCCTACCTTCTGGACGTAGATCCACCATGGGAAGCACAGGGGCCATGCCACCGTCGAGGGATCCGATCCAGAGTACTGCCTGCCGAAGGACGGTTTGAGAGGCTGGGCTTTAGGGTCTAAGGGTTTAGGGGAACAAATTGAGGTTTTGGTAGTTTAGGGTCTAGGGGCTTAGGAGAAAAAATTGGGAGGGGTTAGGGGTTTGAGGTTTTGGGGTTTAGGGGTTTAAGGGTTTAGGGGATTGGAGGGTTTAGGGGGGAAAAAATTCGGGGGGTTAGGGGTTTGAGGTTTTGGGGTTTAGGGTTTAAGGTTTAGGGGAAAAATTGGGGGGGGGGGGGGGGGGGGGGGGGGGGGGGGGGGGGGGGGGGGGGGGGGGGGGGGGGGGGGGGGGGGGGGGGGGGGGGTGGGGGTTTGAGGTTTTGGAGGGTTCAGGGGAAAAAATGGGGGGTTAGGGGTTTGAGGTTTTGGGGTTTAGGGTTTAAGGGTTTAGGGGATTAAAGGATTTGGGGGGTTGGGGGGAAAGAACTCGTAAGCAAAGCACCCCAAATCCTAACCCAAGAACTCCCAGCCTCCGAACGCTTCTCGGGTTTAGGGTGTATAGAAGCTCGGGGCAAACATGATCGGTTTGAAAACCCAACTGGTTGAATCACGCTAAACCCTAAACTTACCCAAACCCTGAACCCTAAACCCTAGACCCTACACCCTGGAATGCGCACTGACTAGTGACTAGTTCTAGGGGAGTGCTTCATTGTTTCTGGATCCAGCTGGGCCCCCCTGAAGCCGAAAGAAGCCTTGCCCCCCTGAAGCCCTAAACCCCTCCCAGTCAAGCCTTGGAGCCCGATGAACCCTAAACCCTAAACCCTAAACCCTAAACCCTAAACCCTAAACCCTAAACCCTAAACTTGGGATGTTCCCCTTATACTAACAGCCCTTGATCGGGATTCTCGTACGCCCTTGTTATAATCCCTATTAAGGACTCTTAGTATAGGGGGGTAATACTAAACCCTAAACCCTAAACCCTAAACCCTAAACCCTAAACCGCCACTATAGACCCCCAAACCTGAACAATAACTCTCCAGAATGTCTCGGGTTTAGGTTACCACACAAGAGCTTTTAGGTAGCCGGAAGCCCGGTTTAGACGCCGAGTCACAACATGATGTGCTGCTCACCTTCCACGCGGCAGTCGCCGCGATGTCGGGGGGGCGGGGGGGCTTCTACCAATCCAAGGGTAGTTACATGGTCCCTTAATATGGACCCTACACCCTAAACCCCAAACCCCAAACCCCAAACTCAAACCCTCCCTGACCTTCTTTAACGGGCAAAAGTATGGGGACTACTAAGGGAAGAAACAAATTAGCGGTTCCTTTTGGGGGTTCCTGAATACAAATTAGGCTATTTACAGGGGATCCAAAATGCGATTCAGGTGTTAAAGGCTTGAGATCAGAAGGTTTAGGGTTTAAAGGGATTAAGGTTTACGGTATGTTGGGTTTGTAGGGTATGGGATGTTGAAGGTTTAGCTGTAGGCTAAATTCTGTAGGGCTAACCCTGAACCCTAAGCCCTGTTGAATGTTCAGGGCTCAGGTTTGATGTTTGACCGTCATGCGCCACACACAGGCGCACTCTAAACCCTACAGTAGAGTCCGGGAGCCCTTCCAGGCAAAGCCTAAAATCACCCAAAAGCCCTAAAGTCCAAAACCCTTTTGTAAGGGTGCCGCACCATATATATATAGGACCCCAAAAGATGACCCCAATTTAGAAAAAGGGCCTGGGCTGCACCTCTCTAGACTTCTTGGGCTTCCTGGCACCATCACCCTAAACCCTAAACCCTAAACCCTAAACCCTAAACCCTAAACCCTAAACCCTAAACCCTAAACCCTAAACCCTAAACCGATTCAAGAGGCCTTGGGCTTTGGGATTCTGGCTTTCAACTTCGGCAAAATCAGCGCTTCGGGCTTGCTTGAAGCATCGGGGACTAAGTAAGAAAGCGATGGGCCTAGCAAGCTAGTAAGAAAGCAGAGGTAGAAGTACCCTGAAAACAGGGATGTGTACTCTAAACGGGAGCCTACTTAGAGTCATTGGGCTTATCCTTCTCCATAAAACTACGTTATAACCCAAATGAGACCCTAAAACCATGCACCACATCCTACACTCTAAACCCTGAACCCTAAACCCTAAACCCTACACCCTAAACCCTAAACCCTAAACCCTACTAAGTCAACTGATCCAAGTTGGCCCCCTACATCCTGGACCCCTGCCTGTTAGCCGGTCCGCGAAGCGCTTGCAGCGCTGGAAGACATCCAAGATGCTGAACTCCTGGATGCAGGTTTAGGGTTGAGGGTTGAGGGTTTAGGGTTTAGGGTTTAGGGTTTAGGGCTTAGGGTTTAGGGTTTAGGGTTTAGGGTTTAGGGTGAGGATTACGGTAGTGGGGTTGTATAGGTCTTCAGGGCTTCAGGTCTGTATTGACGGATAAGCATTCAGCCAGCTTCTCCACACAAGGCAGCTTCTCCCCACGCAAGGCATGCAATCCGACACCCAACAGGTCCCAAGATATTCCTGCGGCCTTGTCGCCCTTTGGTTTACGACTTGGGCCCCAAACACGATGCCCTTCAATTTTGGGGGCTCGGTCTTTCTATGAAACTATATACCTCCACCCTATGCACACACCACATGTCGTGACACCTCAGGAATACTAGTGTTCCTGCGAATAGGAAATCTATATACTGTCTTGGGGTTCACTTCGTTGTCACCGCCGAAACGCCCAGATTAAAAAGTTCAATTGCACAAGCTTTGCTTGTCATTTGATATTGACATGATTTCAAAGCGCAAGAAAGAAAACTTTCCTCGAAACTCCTCGAAACTTCGGCCGTTCGCCACCAAGTAATTGCTTGAGAAGACCCCCAAGAAAGAAATGAAAGATAACAAGACTTCAATTGCCCTACATTCAAAATATCTTTATGGGGGTTCTTAAGCGAACAGTAGCCCTAAACCCTCAAGCCTAAACCCGAAATACTAAACCCGTAACCCTAAACCCTAAACCCTAAACCCTAAACCCTAAACCCTAAACCCCTGCAGGCGGAGGAAGCCCAAGCCTTGTTTCCGTACTCCATGCTGAGCGTGCGGATGGCGCGCCGAAGCGCAATGCTGAGCACACCGCCCTCACCTCAAAATTCGCTTAGGGTTTAGGGTTTAGGGTTTAGGGTTTAGGGTTTAGGCTTTAGGCTTTAGGCTTTAGGGTTTAGGGTTTTGGGTTTTGGGGTTTAGGGTTTAGGGATTAGGGTTTAGGGATTAGGGTTTAGCGTTTAGGGTTTAGGGCGCAGTTCCTCAGCATTGGGTTCAGATTTTTGGACTCAAAGCTTCAATAAAACCCTTGCGAATCCCCTATCCTCAGTCCCGAACCCATAGGTTCCTACGGATCACCGGTCTATTGGGGCTCAGGGGGTTTAGGGTTTAGGGTTTAGGGTTTAGGGTTTAGGGTTTAGGGTTTAGGGTTTAGGGTTTAGTGTTTAGGGTTCAGGTGTCCCAATCCTGCTACACAGAGAGCCCAAGACATAGACCTTCATTTATATTCTGGGATCCTTAATGTCATTTCAGGTATATTCCTTATTTGAGGGTATTGGGCTCTTTGGGTATAGGGCCTATAAAAGGGGCCCGTTTCGGGTTTGGGGTTTCGGGTTCTTGTCGGGCTACAATAGGCACCCATTTTAACTAGAATGTACAATGGGATGGTGGTGACGGCTGTTTCCAAGGCTCAACAAAGCAAATATAACACAGAACCCTAACCCTTAATCCTAAACCCTAAACAAAAACGCTCTCCTCGACCATGTTCGCTCACAGCAAGCCCCACAACATCGGAAACGCTTGGTCAAGGCATGCGGGAAGCTCTTTATTCTGGGTGTCCTTCGGCGGGTCCTTATCATAAGGGTGCCCGCACTCTATCAGTAGATCCAGGAAAAAGGACCCTCATGTGGAAAACACCTTTCTCAAGACATTCTGTCAACAGGTCTTCTAAGACTTTGGTCCAAACTCCTGAGCCGCACCCCTATACAACCCTAAACCCTAAACCCTAAACCCTAAACCCTAAACCATAAAAGGCAGAGCTCTCCTAGATAGGTGCGCAATTGCATGCGGCGAAGCCTGAAAAAGCAATGGCGAATAGTAAGAAGTTACCCTGGTAGCCCTGCAACCATATTATGATAAGGGGTACCCTTTTGGGGGGTTGGTTGCTTCATAAGGGAACCTAGAACCCAAAACAAAGGGCAAAAGGGCACCGCCAAATTACCCAGAACCCTAAACCCTAAACCCTAGACCCCAAACCCTAAGACCTAAACCCCAAACCCGAACAAAACCAAAAATACCGTAAACCCCAAACCCCAAACCCTAAACCCTACACCTTAAACCATAAAGAACCCGAACTAAACCCTTCGAACCCGTATGCGTGGGCACCCCAAGTCACCGATGTCCTCGGCCTCCTCGTTGTCCTGCGAGGCGGAGATGGAGTAGATGTCGTGCTTGTACATGAAGGAGTCCTCAGAGGTTTAGGTTTACGGTTTAGGGTTTGGGGTTTCGGGTTTAGTGCCTATGGTTTAGGGTTTAGTGCTTAGGGTTTAGGGTTTAGAGTCTAAGGCCTAGGGATGTTGAGGTTCACAAGGGGTGCTAAAGGGTCATTGTTTAGGATTTGGCGTGCTCGGGGGTGCGCCCTTCGGGTGATTCGTCCAACGATGAGCGGATAGGCTTGGGAGTTTACCGAACCGATGCAAAAAAATCACCGCAAACCCCAAACCCCAAACCCCAAACCCTAAACCCTAAACCATAAACCCCAAACCCTTAACCCTAAACCCTAAACCGTGAGGGTTCAACAGGTTAAGCGCGCGGGTTCGACTTAGGTTCGTAAGGGTTCAGAAGCCCCAGGGAATAAGGACAGTACTGGGCATTCCCTAAACCTGACCCCTGAACACTAAACCCTAATCACACCCTAAACCCAAAATATAAAACTCTGAGGGTTCCGAGTGACAGAGCAGGAGGAGATGACAAAGGTTTAGAGGGGGCTTACGGTTTCGCAGGAGTCCTGGTGTAAGGCTTTTGGCGAGGTGATGAGTTTGAGTTTTTGCCTAAAAGTTTACGGATTTCCGAAACCCTAAACCCTAAACCCTAAACCCCAAACCCCAAACCCCAAACCCTAAACCCAAACCCTAAACCCTAAACCCTAAACGGGGCTTTTGGGGTTTCTGGGCCCCAGGTTGCAGGGCGGATGGAAGGATCTGAAGGGCTTCAGGTTCGGAAAGTACCCTAAACCCTAAACCCTAAACCCTGAACCCTGAACCCTGAACCCTAAACCCTAAACCCTAACCCCTAAACCCTAAACCTCAACCCGACCCGGGCCCACCTTCAGCCTTGTGTGCTTAGCTGGCCCGCTGGGCTATGTGGGTTTAGGGTACCGGGTTACCCGCAACCCTCAACCCCAAATCCTAAACCTCTGGCCCTTGTACCCTGACCGGGATTTGGGCAGGGTGTAGGATTTAGGGTTTAGAGTTTGTTTAGGGTTTGGAGACCGTAAAACATTCGACCTGGGCACGATGTCGCAGATCGTCCCAGAGTGGCAGCAGTCGTTGATACAGAGGATGCGCACTCCTTCAGGGCTCCCAACCCTAAACCTGAAACCACCCTAAACCCTGCAAATAGAAAACAAAACAGTGCTTAGGGTTTAGGGTTTAGGGTTTATAGGGTTTAGGGTTTATAGGGTTTATAGGGTTTATAGGGTTTATAGGGTTTATAGGGTTTATAGGGTTTATAGGGTTTATAGGGTTTAGGGTTTAGGGCTTAGGGCTTAGGGCTAAGGGCTAAGGGCTTAGGGCTTAGGGTTTAGGGTTTAGGGTTTAGGGTTTAGGGTTTAGCCGTAGGGTTTAGGGTTTAGGGTTTAGGGTTTAGGGTTTAGGGTTTAGGGTTTAGGGTTTAGGGTAAAACAACATCAGAGCTGAGGGCCTAACTGGCTGAACGTTCGACGAACCCCCAAAGGTTCCACGAACCTCTCGGACAACTAGGTCATATCATCTCCGTGCACATGTGTATTACGCAAATCTTCAGAGCAAGAACTTTCATAGAATTTGCCTAGGTGGTTAACATAATTTGCCCAAGCCCAAAACCAGTAGAATTTAATGGGAAGGCAGAATCGAACGGAGATTCAACTGTTTCGTTTAAAAAGATTTTTGCCACTTCTACTCTCAACCCAGGTAAGCTCTATTCCGGTGCTTTGAAAGAAAAAGCACTGGGTTATGACTGACGTTATTGACACAAGGGCTCTCCAACTGCTTCGAACCTGCCTAGGACTGAGCGCTACTACGAACCCCATAAACCCCCAACAAGTCTGACAAAGTTTCGGCGAAGCCCCACCTAGCAATAGGTTCGAACCTGTAGGCCGTCACCTCTACTGTGGCCCAGATTTAGTGCTTAGGATTTAGGGTTTGGGACGCAACTTACAATAGTTCAATACCCAAAGGAGCATTCGCAGAGTTGTACGCGCAACAATGGCAGGTGCACATGCTCCGCACTTCTTCCTGCCCCGCAAGGAGGAAGCACAAGCCGCGAACGATTTCAATGAAAGGACAAAGACTGAACAAATCGAAAGGACATGAACATGAAACCTATGAACCCCACAGGTCCTAAAAACCTATCAGCCCTAAACCCAGCAGCCTGAAGCAACAAAGGAGCAAAACACTGGGTAGTTTGCTTAAGGCGGCACCCTTGAAAAAGGGATCACATAAAAGGGACCAAAACTTAGAAAAACTAACTCACTAGAAGTCTAGTCAATGCACCACGGACTCACAGGCCCTAGGCCCTAAGCCCTAAGCCCTAAGCCCGAAGCCCTAGGCCCTAAGCCCTAAGCCCGAAGCCCTAAGCCCTAAACCCTAAACCCTAAACCCTAAACCCAAACCCTGTGGTAAAGTCGAATCCCAAACTCAAGCAAGCTCTGGGAGTGTGCGGTGAGCAGCGAGCATGCCGTGGGCAGCTAGGGCGACAGCCCGGGCTAGCTCCGGAGCTGACGCGACAGTCGCAGCGAAGGAGGTCCTCCCTGAGAGCCCAATACCCCTTCATTACTGTAAGGAATATACTTACATTAGGGGGGATCCTTAATTCGATTTCAGGAATAGTCCGTCATTAAGGGGTATTTGGCTCTTTGGGCTTAAGCTGCACCTTCTGCATGCCCAAAAGAAGTACTATCTCAAAGTAAAACATGCAAACCACAACCGAAACCTGACCAAAGTCATAAACTGGGTGGGTTGGGAAGGAGCGCGAAACTTGGCGCACACAATACAAGATGCACCTTGCGCGGAGTGTTCGGAATAGGGTTTAGGGTTTAGGGTTTAGGGTTTAGAGTTTAGGGTTTAGGGTTTAGGGTTTAGGGTTTAATTAGGGTTTAGGGTTTAGGGTTTAGGGTTTAGGGTTTAGGGTTTAGGGTTTAGGGTTTAGGGTTTAGGGTTTAGGGTTTAGGGTGGGCTCGCAACCCAAGAGACCCCAAAGCTCGAACGCCAACCCTAAACCTAAACCCTAAACTCTAAACCCTAAACCCCAAACCCTAAACCCTAAACGCCCGCCGCAGAGCACAGACATGGTTATAGGGTTCTTAAGGGAGGGCGGTTCAAGAGTGGGTATGTAACCCAAGGTTAGCGAATACTCCCTTAAGAACCCTATACGGAGGCTTATGAAAAAAAAAGTGCCCCGAAAAACGTCCCCTAAATATTTACAATTTCCTTCTAATGTGGACCCCAAGAAGGTGCTCCCCGTACATTTTCGGAAACCTCTATGACATGGTGTCCATCTGGCACGAAGGTGTCCAGAGCCATAGCGAACTCATCCTTGGGTTGAGGGCTTGAAGGCTTAAGGAAAGCCCTACTTTTTGCTAAAAAAGACAAGAACCCTTCCAATGCCGATGTAAGGAAAAGTTATTTTGTTTCTATGTATTTGTTCAAGTATTTTGAGGGGGAGGGGGCTTCGTAAGCCATTGGTAGGAGATCATTCTGAGCCTTGGCAGCCTTGGGAGGTACAGGGATTCTCAGCTCTTTTGGGTTCTCACTTGTTGCAGGGTCCCCAAAACCTAAACCCTAAATCCTAAAACCCTAAACCCTAAACCCTAAACCCTAAACCTTAAACCCTAAACCCCCAAGGGAAGTTCAAGGGGCGTAGGGAAGAATTGGGGGCCTGAGGGAGTGGTGGGGAGTATTGTTGGAACCTTGGGTTACATGCCGCCATTGAACTCCTCTCCCTTAAGGGCCCTATGGCCTTGCAAAAATGAAACAACAAAATCTCAGGGTAGACAGAAACATCACAATTGGCAGTGCGCCTTAAACATTAGCACTACGTCAAACATTAGAAAGGCCCCCCATCCTTGAGCATTGATATGTGCGGACACCTAGGAACCCCGATACAATAAACTAGACATTACCCGAAAGCCCAATCTGCGGAACCCCAATACCCCCTTTGATTCAGGAATGCACCCGGCAGCCTAAACCCTACTACACACGCGGCAGGTGACGGGTCAAGGGCACAGGAGACAACCCTAAAACCTCAAGGGCAAAGAAGACAACCCTAAAACCTGACTGGGTTTCGGGTTTCGGGTTTATATAGGGTTTAGGGTTTAGGGTTTAGGGTTTAGGGTTAAAGGTTCAGGGCTGACGTTGCTTGCGACCCCTAGGACCCGATGCCCTACTTGAAGGTTCATGGTACTTACTAACCAATTATATCTGGGCTTATAACCCTACTTATAATTGGGATAACCCCTATAAGGCCCTTATAAGGGGTACTATAAGTAGGGTTATAAGTACAGTTATAACTGGTTAGTAAGTACCATGAACCTTCAAGTAGACCCGTTCTCCCCATTAAGGGGGTCTTCGGGCTCCCGGTGTAGCAAGTATCGTCGATGAGGACTGCAGACTCGGTGAGCCGACCGTTAGCATCCGGCGTGACGAAGGCCTGGCTCAGGGGACTGTGGGGTTTAGGGTTTAGGGTTTAGGGTTTAGGGTTTAGGGTTTAGGGTTTAGGGTTTAGGGTTTAGGGTTTAGGGTTTAGGGTTTAGGGTCCGAGGAGTCCGAAGTGTCCGAAGTGGACAATCCCGAAGTGCACGACTTAGAGAAAGACTACATTGCAAGTTGCGAGACTACCGCCGCCGATCCTTCCGAACCAGCAGCCCTATCGGAGTTCAGCGCTTTGGGGGGCTTGCGGGGGCTCAAGGTTTAGGATTTGGGGTGTAGGGTTTAAGTGTGAATTCACACATGGACTTTAAGGAATTGGCCAAAAATAGGGGCCATAAACAGTAAACCCTAAACCCTAAACCCTAAACCCTAAACCCTAAACCCGAAACCCTAGGGGCTTAGTTTGGGGGATTCAGGTGCCGCAGGGGAATAGCCGCTCAGTCTCCAGATGGCAGCCTCTATCTTCCGTACCCTGAAGCCCTAAGACCCTGAGACCCTGAAACCCGAAATCCCCTGAAACCCTCAAACCCTAAACCCCTGAAACCCTTAACCCCTGAAACCCTGAAGCCCTAAACCCTAAACCCTGAACCCTAAACCCCTGAAACCCTTAACTCGGAAACCTGAAACCCTAAACCCTAAAGCCCTAAACAGCTAGCAACCAATGCTCCTGGACCCGAAACCCGAAATCTGTTTAGGCAAGCATGGCCAAGCTCCAGAGGGTTTAGGGTTTAGGGTTTACGGTTTAGGGTTGAGGGTTTAGGGCTTGGGGTTTGGGTTTAGGGTTTAGGGTTTAGGGTTTAGGGTTTAGGGTTTAGGCAAAAAGTACAGGAGGTTGTGCCAGAACGACACTGCACACCACGACAAAGAAACAAACTCGACTTGGCATGGTGCGCAAGTAGGGACCTTGTCGCATACTTGCAGAAACCTTACTACCACTAGTTATTGCGACCCACTAGGAGTTTTGTTGCATATGGTATTTCTTGGGGGGAGCGGGGGGGGGGGGGGGGGGGGTTTGGCTGGGGTATGGGGGTTAAGATGTCCGGCTGGGGGCTGGGGGCTGTTTAGACCCCAAACGCTTGAGGGTTTAGAAGTGTGGACTTTTGGTGTTCAGGATTCAGGAAACCTTGGGGGGGCTTTCAGCTTTCAGGTTCTGGCGCCTTTCTTAGAGACCCTAGGAAGGGGAGTCATTGAGTTTGAGGGTTTAGGGGTTCAGGGCTTAGGGTTTCTCACGTGATTTCGTATAATATATATATTATATGTATATATTATACACACAACGTGCCTACCTGCATGCCAAAAACAAACACTTCAGAGCCACGTACCCATCAATCTACCCACCCACCTATGTACCTAGCTACCGACGGAATTCCGTTTCTCAACGGGCTGCGGTTTGGGTTTTGGGATGAGGGAAAGAGTTTAGCGCTTGGGGGGGGGGGGGGGGTTAGGTTTGCTGGGTTTTTCGGTTTCCCAATGAATCAATAGTCAGCACATTCCCTGAAACAGGGAGCCCACTTGGGGGTTCATAGGGTTTAAGGTTTAGGGCCTAGGATTTAGGGGTACTTAAAAACCCCAATTATAAGTCTATATACTCAAGGACTTAAGGGGCTTCCTTAACTACAGTTATAGTTGGGGATATAAGTACCCTGAACCTCCAAGCATGGGGCATGGGAGACACTCAAAACTATTGCGAACATGCCGCCCGAAACTTTGAGCTTTCACATTCCGACGCTTTATGGCCATAACGTCCGAAGCCGCAGAGGGCGCCATCTTCAAACAGCTTTATGAGGGCATCTTCTATAGGGAATGCGGGAGGTAGCGGAGCCCGGGTACTTGAAGGTTCATGGTCCTTACGAACCAATCATAGCTGGGCTTATAACCCTACTTACAAGTGGGATAACCCCCCATGAGGCCCTATTAGGGGTATTATAAGTAGGGTTATACGTACAGCTATAACTGGTTAGTAAGTACCATGAACCTTCAAGTACCCTTGAGGGTGAAAAGGGCTTACAAAAAAGAGCCTGGGCAGGACAAAGGAGACGAAGGCCCACTCGGGGTCCTAGTAGCCCTAAACCCTAAACCCTAAACCCTAAACCCTAAACCCTAAACCCTAAACCCTAAACCCTAAACCCTAAACCCTAAACCCTAAACCCTAAACCCTAAACCCTAAACCCTAAACCCTAAACTAAACCCTAAACCCTAAACCCTACACCCCCAAAAAAGATAGAGAAACCCTCCACTTCCCTCATCTAGCCCTGCCCCTCCCTCCCCCCCTTCCGACCCTGGCCTGGTCGAAGCCATCCTTCTCGTCGCCATTGAAATCCGGCACGTTGACGCCATGCCCGGCCCAGAACCACACGAACCTCGGGTTTAGGGTTTAGGGTTTAGGGTTTAGGGTTTAGGGTTTAGGGTTTAGGGTTTAGGGTTCAGGGTTCAGGGTTCAGGGCTTAGGGCTTAGGGCTTAGGGTTTAGGGCTTAGGGTTTAGGGTTTCGGGTTGCTGCACTCAAAAGCCCCCTAAAAGTCCTCTCTAAGTAGGATTTAAGAAGACGCAGAATTCGGGGTTTTTAAGTGCCCATGAACCACACGAACCTCAAGACAGGAGTTGCGCGAATTGAGTGGAGCCGCATCTAGGCTTCGGGCTTTCCCAAAGGGCCCGACCCCTGAAATAAGGGAATGTACCTTAAATCAGATTTAGTTCAGGATCCCTATATGGAGTTTACGAAAATATGGACCCCGAAAAAAGTCCCCCCAAAGAATAGCAGTCCCTTAAAACAAGGACCCCCATAAGGTAGCCCTAATTTCGAAAACCCCGGATGGATTGACTAAGGTTGATTCCTTTAATCAAGATGCATTGGCCTCTCTGGGTGAGGGGTGCATGTGTCTCTGTGTGTGTGTACATGTTGTATGTAAACACAACTACAACTGGCTAAAACTGCAAAGAGTCCTTTGTAGGGTTGATTCCGTGATTCGCGAAGCCCCAAACACTAAACCCTAAGCCCTAAAGCCTAAACCCTAAACCCTAAACCCTAAACCCTAAACCCTAAACCCTAAACCCTAAACCCTAAACCCTAAACCCTAAACCCTAACCCCCAAACCCTAAACCCAAAACAGGGGAAATCTTGCGACTCTTCGCTGCTCGGCGCTGTCCGAGGTGCCAGTCCCCCTCCTCGCAGCGCTTGGCGACCTGCCTCATGTGGCGGAGGACGAAGGAACCTCGGAAAAGGACGCATTCAAGGGGTTTAGGGTTTAGGGTTTAGGGTTTAGGGTTTAGGGTTTAGGGTTTAGGGTTTAGGGTTTAGCGTTTAGCGTTTAGGGTTTAGGGTTTAGGGCTACGGGCTTTGGGGATTGGAGGTTGCGTTTGCGGCTGGGGCTTCAGGATTTCTCAGCTCAGGCTTAGGGGCTTGAGGGTTTTCGGGTCCAAGGTCCTAAGTTTTCGTGTGTTAAGGTTTGAAGGGATTTGGTCGCAAGGGTCACTACAATGAGGCTCTTCCGGAGCTCTTGAGAATCAGAGCAGTTTCCTCAGCAACCCCGACAGACATCGTTGAATCAGGTTGGATGTCTCTACAGCACGTGAAGTAGGACACACACCATTCTTTTTCAAGGAACCCAAATAATGGAGGAGACTTGGTTTCCCAGTCTGGGAGCTGGGATTCAACATTTGTTTTGGGTAGTTACATGTCCCTTAGTCCTAACTAAAAAAGAAGACCCTTCATATATCCCTCATATACCCTATACAACCCAAAGGCCCATACTTCGGACCCTTAACAGAGAAGGTAACCCTGAACCCAGCCGAAACCCTAAACTATCCTGAGAAAATATCAAAGACCGGCGACGCTACGGAGCTAGGCCCCCGCGCGTGTGGGGAAGCTGGGATCACCAACCCCGGCCTCTCAAACGCAGTGGGAAGGGGTTTGGGGGGGGGGGGGGAGGAGGTTTAGGGTTGAGGGGGCGTAGGCCTGAGGGGAATCGTTATCCCTACACGATCCATTGAATGGTGATAATTAGGGTGGATACCTGTGCATAGTTCCCATATGCGGCTGAGAGGGGATACCACACTAGGCTGCATGATCTTGTGAACTCTCTTTAGGGTTTAAGGTGGAGGAAATTCGGGAGGGTTAGGGCGGGTCGAGGTCCGCAGGGCTTGGGAGATAGGCGGCTTCGGCCTCCCTAAACCCTGAACTTCACTAAGCTACAGGAGCTGGCAGTATGAAGAAAAAGATGCTGCTACAGTAGAGAGTTCCGCAAAAAGGCCGATCATTACGGTCAACCCACAATGAAGACCACCCCACCCCCAACCAATTGCTGCTTTGCTCTGGGATTGCTACTGTACAATTAGGAGTCTGATGGGCCCTGGGTCTCGATACCGCCACATGAAACGCTGGCTCCAGCAATTCTACTGGCCTTGTCCGTGATGACGGTAATGTCGTCCACGCCCGCTCGCCCCGCCATCCTGTCTGGGTGGTGGTGGCTCTGGTGGCGGTGGTGGCAAAAGAACAGGTGCAGGAGCCGGAGCAGGAGAAGCAGCAGGAGGGTAGGAGTGGAGTAGGAATGGGCGTAGGAGAAGGAAAAGGAGAAGGAGTAGGAGTAGGAGCAGGAGGAGTAGTAGTAGTAGTAGTAGTAGTAGAAGTAGTAGTAATAGTAGTAGTAGTAGTAGTAGTAGTAGTAGTAGTAGTAGTAGTAGAAAAAGTAGTGGTAGTGGTAGCAGCAGCAGCAGCAGCAGCAGCAGCAGCAGCAGCAGCAGTAGGAGTAGTAGTAGTAGTAGTAGTAGTAGTAGTAGTAGTAGTAGTAGTAGTCGTAGTCGTAGTCGTAGTAGTAGTAGTAGTAGTAGTAGTAGTAGTAGTAGTAGTAGTAGTAGTAGTAGTAGTAGTAGTAGTAGTAGTAGTAGTAGTAGTAGTAGTAGTAGTAGTAGTAGTAGTAGTAGTAGTAGTAGTAGTAGTCGTAGTAGTAGTAGTAGTAGTAGTAGTAGAGTAGTAGTAGTTAGTAGTAGTAGTAGTAGTAGTAGTTAGTAGTAGTAGTAGTAGTAGTAGTAGTAGTAGTAGTCGTAGTAGTAGTAGTAGTAGTAGTAGAGTTAGTAGTAGTAGTAGTAGTTAGTAGTAGGTAGTAGGTAGTAGTAGTAGTAGTAGTAGTAGAAACTAGTAGAAATAGTCGTTCGTAGTAGTAGTGGTAGTGGTTAGAAGTAGTGGTGTAGTGGGAGTAGTGGTTGTCGTGGTAGTAGTAGTAGTAGTAGTAGTAGAAGTAGTAATGGTAGCAGTGGTAGTCGTGGTAGTAGTGGTAGTAGTGGTAGTAGTGGTAGTAGTGGTAGTAGTGGTAGTAGTGGTAGTAGTGGTAGTAGTGGTAGTAGTGGTAGTAGTGGTAGTAGTGGTAGTAGTGGTAGTAGTGGTAGTGGTGGTAGTGGTGGTAGTGGTAGTAGTGGTAGTAGTGGTAGTAGTGGTAGTAGTGGTAGTAGTGGTAGTAGTGGTAGTAGTGGTAGTGGTGGTAGTGGTGGTAGTGGTGGTAGTGGTGGTAGTGGTAGTAGTGGCAATAGTGGTAGTAGTGGTAGTAATGGTAGTAGTGGCAGTAGTGGTAGTAGTGGTAGTCGTGGTCGTAGTGGTAGTAGTGGTAGTAGTGGTAGTAGTGGTAGTGGTGGTAGTGGTGGTAGTGGTGGTAGTGGTAGTAGTGGTAGTAGTGGTAGTAGTGGTGGTAGTGGGAGTAGTGGTAGTAGTGGTAGAAGTGGTAGTAGTGGTAGTAGTAGTAGTAGTGGTGGGTAGTGGTGGTAGTGCTAGTAGTAGTGGTAGTGGTAGTGGCGGTAGGAGTATAGGAGCATAGGAGCATAGGAGTACAGGAGTACAGGAGTTTAGGAGTATAGGCGTAGGAGTAGGAGTAGGAGTAGACAAAGTTGGTTGGGGAGGGAGGGACGGCGGACATCATGACGTTTCAGATGAGCTAGGCTTTTGGCCGTTTAACTCCGAGAGGGGACAATCAACAGCTCCCAAGGGCCCGACAAGGGATTTAGGTTGCAGAGATGATCAGAACCCTAAACCCTTCCTGAGTACACATTCCGGCCTCCTTGTACAGGATTCTTAAGCTTCACCTAGTCCCATTGCCCAAAGATCCCTCCCAAGAAGACTAGGATTTGTGGTTGAGGGGGTGAGGCGGGTGAGGAGTAGCCCCGAGGATCCAACTCCTAGAGAAAGGACTACACTAAAGGGAAGAAGCCCATTTGGGGGGTGGTGGCTTGGGAAATTGTAAGGGTCATGGGGAGAGCGTAGGGTTTAGAGGGCTTGGGGCTTAGGGTTTCGGGGCTGACCCTGCGGAACAACGGCGATCCGACATCTAAAGGTCTGCTGCCAGGGTTTGGGAGTACTGATGCTAAAACATGAACTAAACCCAAAATCTTGTCTACGTACCCTGAAAGCCAGAGTTCGGATTTTAGGAAACAAGGTCTAGGGTTCCTGAAAAAAAGCTGAATCAGGGTCTAGGGTATTACTTCAGCTAGGCCTAGGTTTTGTGGTTTAGTGTTTGTGGCATATCTGTCGTGTGGCCTGTACATGGTGCGCGCATCCTTTGTGCACGTCAGCTCGGCTGCAGGGGCATAATCATAGTCTAAAGCGATGATGAGCATACCTCGGAAACAGACAGAGAGGGTTTAGCGTTTGGGATGTACAGCTTAAGGATTCGAACCTAGACAGGTATATAATCGGTATATACATATATACGTGCACATATACACTTCTGTATCTCTCTCTCTCTCTATATATATACATTTATTTATTTATGTGTGTATATGTATTTATATGTGTATGTATAGCTGTATCGTGAAACTTACTTCTAATACGTACTTGCTTGACATTTTGCAACCACACACACAAAGACACAAAGACACCCTCAGAAAGAGACCGGCTTGGGGGGGGGAGAGGACAAACATTCAAAGACTTGCGGCTGCAGGAGCCTTCTGGGGCTCGCACACAGGGCAGACTCCTTATGGCTTGAGGCTTGCACATAGGACCCATCTCGTGTGCATCTTTGCAAGGAGTGGCGAAGCGTGCCAAGCAGCTGAGAGCGAACGAGGATGAAGCTACATTCAAGTGTGGCACGGGGGGGTTGAAGATTTCGGCCGACTTCAGCTTTCAGAAACCCAACACACGACACCCCAAGAAATCGCAGCATTCCCAAATCCCAAACCTCCTAAACCCTGAAATCACCCTGAACCCTAAAAACCCGAAACCCTAAGCCCTAAACCCTAAACCCTAAACCCTAAAAAACCCTAAACCCCAAACCCTAAACCCTAAACCCTAAACCCTAGCCCTAAACCCTAAAAAACCCTAAACCCTAAACCCCAAACCCTAAAAACCCTAAAAACCCTAAAACCCCTAAAACCCTAAAAACCCTAAAACCCGAAAAACACCAAAAACCCTAAAAACCCTAAAAACCCTAAACCCTAACAACCCTAACCCCTAACAACCCTAGAAACCCAGTCTTAAGTGCAGGCCCATCCGCGGATGCATCTGCCGGTGCCGCGCCAGGGTTCCAAGGGGCCATCGCCGAAACAGTGGCAGATGCCGCAGTCTGAGGCAGAGTTGGGGGGTTTAGGGTTTAGGGTTTAGGATTTACGGTGTAGGGTTTAGGATTTGGGGTTTAGGATTTAGGGTTTAGGCCCTGTAGGGTTTAGGGCTCGGAGTTCAGAGTTTTAAGGCTCAGGGCCTATAGGGTTTAGGGCTTGGAGTTTAGGGTGTGGGTTTAGGGTTTTTGGGGGGCGCAGGGTTTAAGAGATCGTCGCCAGGGAAGGAGGAGGGAGGGAGGTTCATAATCGTGGGACCAGAGATCAGGGGTCTATTAGTTGGGGCTTAGGTTTCTTTGCCATTGATAGAAAGGGGTATACCCTGAACCTTAAACCAATAAACTAAGGGGCATAGGGGGCTTGGATTGGACATGAGCTCAATGGGATTAAGGCTTAGGGGGCTGAGGGCCCGTAGATGGGTTCAGGGTTTCGGAGCCCTAAACCCTACACCCTAAACCCTGAACCCTAAACCCTGAACCCTGAACCCTAAACCCTAAACACCAAACCCTAAACCCTAAACCCTAGGTGGTGTGAGAGCAGATCCAATTCTGGGCCGAGCGGCTGCATCTGGAGTCACCCGCTCCCATGGCCGAGAGGACCGGTACCGGCTCACTTTGCTTGCCTTCTGGGTTGCCGCTCCGGAACTTGCAATGAGGATGGGTTTAGGGTTTAGGGTTTAGGGTTTAGGGTTTAGGGTTTAGGGTCTAGGGTTTAGGGTTTAGGGTTTAGGGTTTAGGGTTTAGGGTTTAGGGTTTAGGGTTTAGGGTTTAGGGTTTAGGGGTTAGGGGTTTAGGGGTTAGGGGTTTAGGGTTTAGGGCTTAGGGTTCAGGGGATATCCAGGGCTCAAGTTGCCCAAGTACAGGTACATGTTCGCCACGATGGCTTTTTCTTGTGTGGGAGCTTCATTGAAGTTCCTGAACCGCAACCCAGCAGCTTGCCTTTGCCCGTGGCTCAGTAGTTGCTAGGGGTTCAGGCTGAAAAGAAGTGGGTTTGCAGCAGCGCTATGCATATGCATGTAGCTATTTGCTTAAGTCAAATAAGGCACCACCGAGGTCGTGCAAGAAAGACAAGAACCAGAGATACAGTTGCTTTCGCCCGGGCTGATGCTGCACAAGAAAGCTTGTCGTGAAACTTGAAGCATCTCAAATGCTGAAGAAAGTCATAACAACTGAGACAGGACTCGTACCGTGTACACATGCTGATGGCTACTTCCCCCCCCCCCCCCCCCCCCCCCCCCCACCCCCCCCGCACCCCCCCCCCCCCCCCCCACCCCCACCACCCACTTCTCGACCCTGATCGCCTAAGCTTGAGACGAAGCAAGTCCAACCCCACCCCCCCTCTCAACCCACCCCAAATACTTCCGAATATTCAACCTTTTCCGAATAGCAGATGTTGGGGCTTTAGATGTAGGGTTAGGGTTTAGTAATTTAAGGCTTTCGTTGCTGTCAGATACTACGCTCTAGAAATCGGAGTAAGATGCATGTAGTACCTTGTGGTATACTCAGAGACATTTTGGCACATGAAAGTACATTCTAGTAGTTTGGGGCTTAGAGTTTAGGCTTAGGATTTGCGGTGTGTTCGTTAGGGTTTAGGGTGCACTAAACACTAAACCCTAAACCCTAAACCCAAGGGTTCGCGAACTTCAGGCCCTAAAACACCACGGGCCGAGTCCCACCCGCCCTCCGAAAGGGTTTCCGTCTAAACCCAAGGGTTTAAGGTTTAGGGTTTAAGGTTTAGGGTTTGGGGTTTAGGGTGTACGGGTACTGGGCCCTCTGGAAACCAGTCCCACATCGCAGTGCACGTAAGGCGTGGGAATCCCGAGACAGGGCCGGGTTTCCTTTACGAGTAGGGCTTGGGGGGTTTGTGGTTGAGAGTTTGCCTTAAGAACCCAAAGCCTACTTTTTGTATTGTAGGCTACCTAAGAACCCTAATTATAGGGGGTTTTAGAGCATGACCTACAAAAAAGTAGGCTTTGGGTTCTCAAGGTAGGGTTGAGTTCAGGGCTGCAAAGACTTTTTCGCCGCGAGCGAGCAAACGGGTCGATGGGGGGCGTGTCGAGAGGATGGCTTAGGCATGTTGAGCTTCAGCATTTGGGGCTTCGGATGGTTTAGGGTTTGGGGCTTAGGGTTTGGAAATTGGGTTATTGGGTTTAGGGTTTAGGGTTTTGGGTTTAGGGTTCAGGGTTTAGGGTTTAGGGTTTAGGGTTTAGGGTTTAGGGTTTGGGGCTTAGGGTTTGGAAATTTTGAAGTTCAGCCCTCGCCCTACAAACCTCCACAGGGGCACCCCGTCAAAACCTCACTGTGCATACTCACTCGCCCGCTGGATGGCGCTCTTGTACAACCTGTCCGCGTTTCAGGGTTAGGGTTTAGGGTTTAGGGTTGAGGGTTGAGGGTTGAGGGTTCAGGCACTGAGGAACCCTGTGTACTTTAAAGGTATATTCCTTTAAGTAAGGAGAATATAGGGCTCTCGGGGCAGGGCTGGTTTTTGGGGCTTTAGGGCTTATAGGGCTCAGGAATGAGGGTTTGGAGGTTACTTGCAGCTTAGGGTTATGGGAGGGCCGGGTGGCGTCGAGGCCGCGGCGTGGCCGGACGGACGGGCGTCTGCGTGCTCACGCGTGCTCACATCTCCGCCTATGCTCTTCAGGCTCGCTTAGTGCTCCTTGTTCTGGATCTTGTTCAGTGGGTGGCCCACCCTCCTCTGGGAACCCCAGTCTGCGTCGCTCGGCTGCGTGCCCGAATTAGAATTAGACCCAAGAGTAACCTGGGAATCTCAAGGGCGCCCCCCTTTTCTCTAGGGTTTTCTAGGGTTCAGGGTTGAAAAGGCCTCTACTGTTGCCCAGGGATTGAATAAGGCGTGCCGGTGGGCGTGGATCACCTTGGTCTTGTCCTTGCCGGCTGTCACGATCTGGTATTCGTTCCTGTTCTTGGCTCGCCTCCAGGTCGTTTCCTCCGGCCCCCTCCGCTGCTTGTTTTGCTTTTTGTCTGCTTCCATATTAAACCCTAAACCCTAAACCCTAAACCCTAAACCCTAAACCCTAAACCCTAAACCCTTCTCTATCTCTCTCTCCGCTCGTGAGGCAGCCTCTTACCCAAGGGGGCATCCTTCGGGGTCCAAGGCAGAGTCCCAGGAGATGGACGGCACTGGCGCGACCATGAACCCTTAGAGGCGCCCTAACCCCACAATGGTACTGCCAAACCACTGCCTGCTGAGGAAACACCCCCCCCCCCCCCCAAAAAAAAAAAAAAAAAGTCCCCAAATTGCCCTTATAAGGAAGAATTAGTGAGTTCTTTTTGTTTTTTTCTTGGGGGGGGGGGGGGGGGGGGGGGGGCGAGGGGCGGGGGGGGGGGCTCTTCAGCAAGTAGTAGTAACGTGTCTCTGAACAGCATCCTGGCCTGTGACTGATCAGGTCTAAGACCACCAACGCGCCCATGAGGATCACGAACAGCGTCGGAATGGGAGCTTTCCTCTCGGGAAAATTAGGGTTTGGGGTTAGGGTTTAGGGTTTAGGGCTCAGGGTTTGGGGTTAGGATTTCGGGTTAGGGCTCGGGCCTAAGACAAGAACCCTAACTACACCCTGAACCCTAAACCCAAAATGCGTGTGCAAGGTCAGGATTCGAGTGTCTATCTCTTTGAGGTTGAAGCTTGGTCTTGGGACTGAAGCCCTCGGGGGTTCAGGGTTCCCCTAAACCTTTAAACCTAAACCCTAAACCCTAAAGCCCCAAACCCTAAACCCAATGGTCTAGGTCTAGGACTGGAGTAGCCCCTCTAACGTTGCAGGGACGCAACGATCGGGGTGCGGGCTGCAAACCTAAAAACGCCCCAAACCGGTTCGGTAAAGGCGTGTAGGGTACAGAGCACTGAGAACCCCCTGAATACGCCCCGAACCCTAAACCCTAAGCGCCCTAGACTCTAGACTGCAACTCACCGACAACGCAGTGACAGCCCACAGACTTGAATGCGCTGTACGTACAGCGAATTTCGACAGCAATGCTGCTCCCAACCCTCGACCGCCAAGGTTTAGGGCATTGGGCCTTGCACGCGAGCCCCAAACCCTAAACCCTGAATCACCACGCTTTGAAGACAATCCCCCTTCACCCGCCCCAACGGTCCAAACGCAGGTCTTGGTGTCATCGTCCAGGGTCCTTCATTTAGGGGTTTAGGGTTTGGGGTTCAGGGTTCAGGGTTCTTGTGGCTTCAGGCGACCCTTGGCCGAGACCCGGCTCCCTAGCTTCTTTAAAGGGTTCTGAAGTAAGGGGTTCGGCCCTTGGGCTTTAAAGGGTACATTGCGAAGGGAAACTACCCTTAGAGTCTCTTGAATGATTGCTACCACGGAGCTGCACAGCCACCTGCCCCAGTACCTCAACGTTATAAGCCTGAAGCCCTATAGGCCCTTTACCCTCGAAGCCCCAAAAGCACAGAACCCCCCCCCTCCCCTCCCCAAACTTCGACATAAGACGTACTCATTACCATCCTGAACCCTAGACCCTAAACTCCCAGGACTTCGTGAAACAACAAAAAGTAGTCAGGTGCAAGCCAGGGTCATGAAGAGGTATCTCGAGCATTGTGGGTCCTCACCTCGGAACAGGCGTGAGGTAATCCGGGCGTAGCGTTGAAGAGTTTAGAGTTCGTCTAAATGCAAGAAAGTGTCATCACGACTTTCCAATGGCAACCGTCCGACAAGCCTAAGATTGAGGCTACTGCGCCCTCAGCCACAAACCAGGGGTAGATTTTTTGGGCTAAAAGCCAAACCCTGCCAAACACCCTAAGAATAAAATCCCTTCCCCCTTTTACTAAACGCCCCTAATTATGAAAACACTTTCCGGAAAATCCTGCCGAAACCGACACCGCCTTCTAAACCCTATTCCCACTTAGGGGAGGGGGGGTTCAGGATAAAAACCTCCCCCTAATAATAAAAAAACATTTATGTTTTCTATTAGGGGGGGGGACCATTTAATATTAGGGGGAAGGGATTAAGCGTCAAAGCCCTAAGCTCTGTCACCCAAACTCGAATGCGAAAGCTCTGCAGTCCGCAGTTCTACTTATTTCGTCATCAGCACCCTTCAGCATGACACTTACTTCCAAACCCCTCACGCCTCATCCGCAACGTCATCATGGCCCGACATGCTTAAATCAAACACCCCGAAATCCCCAAACTAGGGGTCCAGATTCCTCCCTTCGTACAGCATTCCTACTGTGTCCCTACTATATTCATACTGTACTCCTAATCTCGTTCCCACACGGGTACCTTTGGAAGCCCTAAGCGGGGAGCACTACCGGTGGCTTTGCCAGCGCGCCTAGAAGTGGTGAATTCCCATGGCCAGTGTCTGGCTGTTGGGCTTAGGTTTAGGGTTTAGGGTTAGGGTTTAGGGTTTAGGGTTTAGGGATTAGGGATTAGGGTTTAGGGTTTAGGGTTTAGGGTTAGAGGGTTAGAGGGTTCAAGAGTTCAGGATGCTAAGCGCTCCGACCTCCAAGCTAGGAACCCCCCCTTCTCAGGCTCCCGGGCACACGTTCAGAGGTGGGAAGTAGCCTTGGAGCCGGCAGTTTCACTTTGAGGCCCCACACCTTGTGCGTCTGCTGCTGCTGCTGC